CTTATTTTACTCTAATTTCTACATCCGGTGTTATGAGCAAACAGTTCATTATGGATTGCAGTTTATTTGTTTGTGTCCTTCCCGTAATCCTGAAGACAACTTTCAGAGCAGAGGATTCACCGAAAATGGCAACTAGTTACATTATGCAAAACTACACTGCTGCATTGTATCATCAGAGCTTTATGAAATTTAACTCGCCAAGACATGGTTGAAAAGAAGAACCAAGACAAATGGCGTTCAAAGAAGACAAATCTCTCAACGCTGTCAATGTCTGAGGTGCTTTGGCCATCCATCCTCGATCTCTCCTTCATTCGCTATCTGTCTGGCCCTATCCCACCTGTATGACACCCGATCACTCTTCATCCCTCTGTACATCCATTACCCCTGTCACTTCATCCTTCCATTTCTCTGGCCCAAGGCCTGAGCTTCCCTCGCCTGTCACAGATGATACTATCAGTGTGGATTACTTGGGATATCATGAGGAATATATGGTCAAATATCCCCTTGCAGAGGTCATAATATGTTAAATAATGACATTGCTATTTATAGGTAGTGTTGTTTTGTCTATATTTTATAAAGTGACTTAAAAATTCTGAGTACTGACTTACTATAAAAGAAACAGTGAGTGAGTGATATTTACACTTTTAATAAGCTATTTATAATACATATTAATTATTACCAAATCATTGAGAGCTGCTCAGATACTCAACAGGTCTTTTTTTACAGAAGATAAATAATCATATTTTCCATTATATAAATATTACTCCTACTTTAATAGCTGCATATACAACCTGATATTTACAATGCAATAGTACAGCTGTCATTGTTTTTTTAATTTTGTGACTCTGCGTATGTAATCGCAATAAAATGTGTTTGGGTAATCATGCGCTATCATGCAGTTTTAAGCTCTTGGTCAAGTGTTTGTACGTCTGTCTGTGTTTGTGGACAGACTTTTTCCAAACACTAGCATCAGGGAAGGATCAGCCTGTTGTGTGTGCTTATGCACCATGCAGCAGCTCAGAGCAGTCAGACTTCCCGCAGTCTCGGGTGGCCTCCTGAAAGGATTCCATCTGGGGCACCAGATTTCAGCTGTAGCGATAGGGTGAAGAGCTTCGACATCCAAAACAAGTAGGCAGTAGAGCTGCTGGTACTTTGAGTCAAACACAGCCAGCTGAGTCAAGCTCAGGTGGTTCGGGAATCTGATTAGGATGCTTCTTGGGTCTTTTCTTTCTAAGGCTTTCCTGGCATGTCCAGCTGGGAGAACACCCCAGGGTACGCTCAGAACTTACTTGAGGGATTGCACTGCTCCTCTGACCCAGGAATGCCTCAGGATCCCCCAGGAGGAACCTGGAAACGTAGCTGTAATACCCTGCTTTGAATTAAGGAAAAGAGATAGATGGATGGATGTGTAGCATAAATTCTTCCCCTAGGGTGAGACTGTCAATGAAGACTTTAAAATTCAGTGCAAATAACCTGAACCATGAAGCGTGCCATAGTGCACAGCACACAGTTAATTGAAAATGCATATATTTAGCTCTAGTCATAGACTTGGTTCTCGGCGACTTTGTCCTCTTCCCCAAAATGAAATTGAAGTTGAATGTGTGTGATTTCAATACAGTGGAGGAAACCTACTGATGCAAGTGAAAGTGGTCATGAGAGAATTTAGGAGCAGTCAAATAAAGGCAACCACACTGGAAACTGTAGCGCTACTCAAGGAGATAATGTAGAAGGAGGAAGACTGACCAAATTTAAATAAGTAAAATAATTGTTTTAATAAAAGTCAGTTGAACATCCTATTTTAAACTGCTGCCATGTGTGTATAAAGTCAAAGGCACTGATAAACAAATAGCTGAGGTTTGAATTCTAGGCCCTTAAACTGAAAAGCCCGACAAGGTCTGACCCCCTACTCGACACTTTACTTTGCTATCTCCTCACTGCTATCCATCCTCCTTCCCCTCCTTCAGGCCAGTGCAGACCAGCAGGCATCAATCTCAGCCTTGATCTTCCTTCTCTTTATTGATGGTGGGGTGACACAGATGCAGAGCTTGTTACAGGCTTTCACAGCACTGACCTGCCACGCCTTGCTCTCCTTTCTCCTATAAAAGGAGTGAATGATGGGGAAGCGAAGGAAGGGGGGGCGACAGACTTATACAGCATGCATAACAACTGAGTACACCTCTCCACATGCATCATGCCATCCATCGCCCCCTGACTGTCTCATCTGAGGCCAATGGAGGTGCACACACACACACACACACACACACACACACACACACACACATTTACAAAGACACCGAAGGTTGGCTGCAAGCTGCTACCCAAGCTGACTATCAAAGCTAAAAAGAAATCACACCCTGGCGCCTCAAACTCCAGCTCACATGAAGAAGGTCACACTGACAGGCTCGACTCCAGTTAACAAAGGCTTTTCCTATCTCAGGGACATTCCCCAAAAAAGCAAAGTGCTGACATGCACGCCCACTCAGAGAGAACCATATGTCTGCGATGTTCACACACTCTCAGTCCGACACACATGCGCACACACACCGTGACCTTTGCAGCAAAATTCTCAAACTCTGAAATATTGGCTGGACAGCTTATTCTGAGGATTATCAGGCAATATAAAGTGTAAACCATCAAGTCTTGTTCTCCACTTTTGGCACGCAGTTTAATTCTATAGTGCTATACACATACACTGCACCACAGTGGGATAAACACATACTGCCAGGTCTGAGGTTTAAGGTGGCATTCAAACAAAAGGCATGTTCTCCAAGGAATATAAATTTTATAGGAATATTTATTTTATTTCTCAGACTTCAGAACCTTGAATCTGAGAGTTTTGCAGACTCTTGTTATCAGCATTTCTTTAAAAACAGAAATTTCAGATATTATTCCTGGAATTTGCTGGTGCCATTCATTCAGTTTTTCGGTCACTAATCTCATTGCCCCCGGGAATACTGGACGTTACCTTACACATCTGTTCGAGCTCTTCGTTCAGCATCTGGTGATTCTTCATCTCCTTCCTTCCTTTTGGATGTTACTATCACCTGGGATTGCCACATCTATCACAACTGCCCTCTTCTGCTCCGAGTTACCACCACTATATCCGGTTGGTTAGCCAGCAGCTGTTTGTCAGTCTGGATGCTGCAGTCCCAGAGGATCTTAGCGCCATTTCTCTCAGCACCTTTAGGAGGTGTGCCTCATGACGACTTCAGATCCATGGGCAGTACAGATATTTGTGAACACTAGCCAGTTATTTTAGTCCCAAAAATATATCTGCATTTGCAAATGTTGTAAATATATTAATATAAAGAACATATCCGTTTTGCCTTAACAAAAACTTGACAGCTTGAGAAATCACACAAAGCACAAAGTGACTGGTTAAATACAATATGCAAATTTAGAAAAAAAAAATTGAGTCTATGTTAACTGAAAAAGGCACCCAAATGACCCAGTTGTATAAATTACTTTCTGGAAGTAGGGCTGTGCGATATGACCAAAATCTCAAATCTCAATATAAGACATTTATCGTCCTGACAACGATATAAATACAAAAATGTAATATTTTCTGTAAATTCTGTGAATCTCGGGCAACTCTATTTGCATGAAGTTTTTCCAGCTGGGCGTCCTTTACCTGGAATCGAGTGTTCTAACCACCTGACGGCTCTTTTTTGCTTCTCATCCGTAAACTCGCTGCATGCTCTTTCACGTGATTCGGTTTATTTTGAAAAGTCTCAACAGGATCTTGAGCTTTATTGTGAAAGGTTTACGTGAAGAACAAACGAGCGACAGCGGAGCCGTGGTTTTACGTCATTGTTGCTAAGGACAACACGTAAAAACAGGCGCTTGTCCGTCTGTAGTGTAGTTATATTAAATATAAGAGCAAGAGAGAACTTTAAGAAATTAATATAGCCACTACAGTCTCCATCAAAACGATGGAAAAAAATATTGCCGTAAACAGTTTATTTTATGACACCACGAAACAAACGATAGCGTAATAGGAAACGATAGATGTTTTTATATCGTCATCGGATATCGTTATATTGAACAGCCCTATGTGGAAGTGCTTTTACACACACAGATGACTTTGTTCACTAGTTAAGATCATAATTTTATGCATGTTTTTTCCCAGCTCTTCTTCTCAATGCTGGTTTGTACAGATGATGTGTAATAAAAAGCCTGCTAATATAAAAACTGTCCATTTTGAAATTATTGCTAAATAAATATTTTCTTTAGAGAATGACTCACAACACAATAAGAACCACCGAAGGTTCATGCGTGGATTGTCTCCTTACAACTCTTCTCATTTTTATACTCGCACAAACACTACACTCACATAAAAGGCGTAAAATTTGTTCACCATGACTCATAAAACTGTTACATAAACTTGCATCATAACTTGATATCTGATGTATGTAGTTGAATCAGTTCTACTCCCATGTGCCCAAACATTAAGCCCCTGTATACTGTCTGTATCACAAATAATGGCCATTTGTGTGCTTGATGAGCGCCAGCACAATGCCAGATTATCCCCAAAGACCGGTGGCCACGGCTGACTGTTTGATGAGGAGTGATTTAAAGGGCTCAGGGAAGAGCTTCCCTAAAGCTCGGAGGGCCTCTACTTTGGTCAACACAAAGAAATCCCTGTTAAAATACAGTCCGAGACAAAGGTCTGAGTCTCTGAAGTGATTACAATCTATCTGTTCTCTAAGCAAGAGACCCAGTCAAAGAAGCCTGAGAGGTAAGTCTGCATGCTACACAACTTGGTATGAGACCCACGTGATCTGCTAAGGTCGACAACATCTGCACAGGAGATTGAACACTGATCACAGCAGGATTACACTTGAAACTAAAATGTAACACTGAAACACAGTGACCTAGCACCAAGCTGAAAGAAGCTGTGCATTAATTAGCCAGTAACCTGTATATGTGGTCAAACTGCATAATTAGAAAGAAAGAAAATATGAAGTATTAGAAAAAAAGACACCAACATGCTGGGAAAAAATTCAAAAATATATGTATTTTACAGTTTTAAAGGGCAAGACGGTGAACAAGTCAAGGGAACACATTAATTAAGGCATGAGATATACTTGATTTTAATTATACACATGATGGTGAGTGTTTGGAGCTTCAGTTGTGAATGTCATCAAAAAATAAAAATATGTGTTTCAAGAAGATTCAAGAAGCACTCCAACGGTAAGTACCAGAGTCTGTATAGGCATGCTGGCATCTCTATGATGTGCTGTTGCCTCTGCACAGAGACAACTACACTTCATTATCAGTGTCATCTTAGGTATATGTAAATTAGACATAGGAACAAACAACTCTGATCGTTTAGTGGTTTGCTTGCCAAGCAAAAGGTCGCTGGTTCAATTCTAGCCAGAGAGACAAATTCCCATTGTGGTTGCATGACGAAAAACATCAAGCACGATCAAACCATCAAAGCCACCCGCTGTGGCGACCCCTGTGACAAGGGAGCAGGGGTAAAACAAAATGAAGACGTTGAGCTTTATCAATTGAAGTCCCACTGAGAATAAATTTCTTAAAAGAAATGGGCTGCCCTGATATTTACTGTTTTAGGTCATGCAAATATGGAAGCCCTCTGCTGGAATCCTCCACTAACACATGTAGTAGGGAGTCAAGCACATAAAATGTTATATCATCACTGCAAGCAGACGTTTACGTTACTGCATGGTTAAAATGCAAGTATCTCTTGCCTGAGGTCAACAGGTTAAGGTAAAACATGTCATGTTTTGAAACTGGCAGATACCTTCTCTGTTGTGTTAGCTGGCAGCGCTTTCTTTTATTGGCCTTTCCTACATTTCATTTATGCTTATGTATTGTATGGATCAACTGACCACCAGCAGGAGTGTAACAATAAGCAGCCAATTTTCTCAAGTGACACTTCCAATACAGTCGAAACGAATAAAAAAACAAAATAATAAGACTGAAAAACTGTGTTTAAAAAAAAATGACAAAAAAGCATTATTTGGTGCAATTCTACAATGAATGAAAAATAAGAAGACAACATAAAAAGAGCAAATACTCTGTGGCTGTATGGTCTGTCAGCTTTGAAGCACAGTTAATGTCACAAGACAACAAATACTATGCCAATTATATTAAAACACTGCCCACTAGATATTAAAATATTGCCCACTAAAACATGCCCACTATAGATTACAGTGAATACTTTGATCGGACTCTTGTAAAATTACTGTCATGTCCTCAGTCACCCAAGAGCCGTACTGTTATCGATGTTATTATTCAAACAGAGCGACTGCGCCTCGCGCTACTTGCTAAATGACAACAATCTGGCAGAAGTCTGTCACTATTCGGAAAATAGTCAAAATCTGAGCTAAACATCTCAACGTGCCTGCCTGATTTTAATAGTTAAACAGTTTACATTTGTATTCTTTCATGGAAAAAAAATATCAAGACAATTGTTCAAGCCTTAGAAGAACAATAAACTGAACACCATTAAGGTCTCCAATAATGGGAACAACAGTCTTTCACTTTCCTGTTGGTTGATCCTCTTCACTTGTCTCTTCACAAGCACAGTTTGGGTCACAACACTGTACAAGTCAAGACGTCACAGACAAATATTTTCAGGGACTCAGCATTGACTTTTCACTTTCACACAGGAGATCAGTTCTTTACGTGCCTGACAGGCAGAATAGAGTTGTAGCCTTCCAATATCATTGATGATGGATATGGAATAAGCAAGGCTTTGGGCTTGCAATCCTTAAATATCCAGGTCCAGGTCTTATGGTATTCACTCAGTTCATCTTACAGTGATGTGTAGTACCTCCTCTATAGCATTAGTCCAATAATTCTCTGTGCTGCACAGCTGTATAGCTGCCCTAGCTATATATGTACCCAAGCCCTAGGCGTCAGTTGTGGGCATCTTGGGATGCTATAGGTACAAAAGTAGGATTGGGAGAGAGGAGCAGTGAGGCTGCTGGTACGGGAGGAAGCAGCAGGGTTAGGTCGGGAGAATCGCTCCAGACCACTAGGACTGTTTCAGCCGTTTTCTTGGGGGACCCAGGAAGGGACACTGGGCCGAGGCCAGAGAATGATAGGCCTCCGCAACCAGGTGTGGGTGAGAGATCACCATGGATTTCCAACCTGATGTCTCCATCACATCAGCAGCGTGACTGAGAGAAAAAAGGGAAATGAAATACAAAGGAAACGGAAAGCAGGAAAAGATGTTAAATTAAGAAACTAAACAGATATCCAAACAAAGTACACAAATGAATCTTTTTTCAGAGAGAAAGAGTTTGGGATTATAAGACTCCATCTGTGTGGAGAGCAGCTTTGAGACATTACAGATTTGTCATACCAGCTGGTGAGGCTGTTATTTATTTTATATTTTTAAATATTTAACCTTTGAGGTCATCTTTGTGATAAATAACATCACACAAATAAAAAGGCATCATTAAAGTTGCACAAATATACAGGCATGCGATAAAAAGGTTAAGTCATAATGTTTTTTATATCATATCATGAAATAATTACTTGATTAATCAGCTAATGAACAGGAAATTATTCAGGAAAGATTATGATCATTTGTTTATTTATGAGAGTCGATTTTTAAACAAAAATGTTAAACATTACCTTTTGTTAAGTTTTAATTGTGAGGATTTGCTGCTTTTCTGGGTCTAATGAACTAAATCTTTTGGTTTTTTGGACTCTTTTATACAATACTATTACACAGTACTCTTAACATGTACTATAATTCATATATTATAGTATATATAGTAAGCAGAACACAATATTAACAGATAGATGGTTCATTTTAGAGACCACATGAAAATCTCACTGTGAAAAGCAAAAAAAGGCACACAAATGATGACTAGTTCCCATTTTCAAAGCATTCCACGTTTAGGTTTCATTATTCACACCTGGTATTGTAATGAGGAGAAATAAAGATGGCTAGCATGTGCCTATTTCAGCTGAATTAATTCCATTAACTGTTCATTTGTTTGCTCTTGAAAGATCCTCAGACATTTAAACTAAATTGTTTTTCCTTAGTTGGGAAAAGGGAGGAAAAAGTTGGGAAGGTTTTCTAATTAAGTGCTGATCAGTTTACTTGTGGTTGAGCTTACACCAGCAGACCCTGTGGCAGTCTTCAACCTCCTGACACCCTCAGGGTGCTGGGATGCACTATCACGCACACTGCTGTGTGGCCTTTAATGACATTTTTCATGTTTTATTGTGTGTAAATAAACAACCGCATGCGTGTGCGTGTACACGTGTGTTTATGTTTTGGCGCGTCTGCTCCTGGCTGTTTGTGTGTGTGTCTGCGTGAATGTGTGGTCCTATGGTTTCCACACAGCAGCTCCAGACCTCCAGCCAACCTCTGACCCTATTCTCTGTGGAGGAAGTGAAGCCCTGCTCACAGTAATGGCCAGTACGCTCAAGCTGAGGGCAGTGAAAGGGCACAAGGAGAGCAACCACAGCAGGAGAAGGAGGGGAAGGGATGGACCGATGGAGGGGAGAATAAGATGGCAGCAGTGACAAATAAAGAAAAAGGGAGGTGACAAAGAGTAATCAAACATCACGGAGGGAGATAGGGAGAGTGACTGGGAGTAGAGCAGTGATGTGAAGGTAAATCAAACTATAGTCTCCAGTCAGTGGTAATTATAAGTTACCAAAAAAATCTACTAAAAAGGCATTTTGTCTGTGCTTCACATTACTCGTGTTGTGTTTACATGCTGGTCTAAAAAAAAACTCTGTAAGCTTTTCTGTAAACAAAGTGGATTAGGAGAGTTTAGGTGCCTTTCCTCTCTGCTGCATCCCTGGTGAGGACGAATAAATGAGACAGAGGAAGGATAAAGAGGACTCTTATTGTCTCAACTACATGACTGTAAACTGCTTGTAAGGACTGGTGTGGAAAGAGGTTAAGGTGCTTCTGGGGGTAGGATTATTGGTTTCTCTGTGTCGTCCGTTTTCGATATTTGTCCTCTAAATTGATTTTTGTTTTGCTGCTCTTGTTGCTGTCGATTGTGTCTGCAGGAGCTGGGTTGATAACGCTTTGCTGGCCAGGAGTCCCCTGTGGCCAATTTTCCCACCACCACAACAACGCTGTCGCAAATTAAACTGTCATAACGCCCATAACCACAATTAATGACTGGGATTAGGGGGAGAAATCTGCATTACTGAACACCTTTAGGCACACATGAGCTCTTAAGCACAAAACAGAGGTGGGAGACGGGGAGAAAAGGGGGGAAAGGAAAGGATAAGGGGAGTGAATGGAAAAGGGAGGGAGACGAAGCCCAGGCAGGAACAAGGAAAGGACATGAAGCTGTAAAGAGAGGACAGAGGAATGAACAAAGGGATGGAGAATGTGTCTGGCTCTAAGGCACACAGTTTGAACAAACACGGGTAAGGTGATAGGCAATTCAGGTAGCGACTGAGAGAAAGCCTTTTGTTTCAAGTGGGCATTGAAACACTGGATCAATCACCTGTCGGTGGACATAAATAGTAGTCATTGATGCTAATAGGCCACATCGTACCTAAACAGGCTGCACGCAACACGATTAACACCAGCAGCTGAGGTTTATTGCTAAATGGACCAATATGATACAGCAGCAAAATCATCTGATCTGGAGATTAAATTAAATTTCCTCGGGAGACAAAAATTGCTCCCACTGAAAATTAATGACATCCCCTGACAAAAAGCCGAACGCAGAAGCGTGCGTGTGTCGGTGAAAAAAATATTTGCATTAGTGTGGAGGTAGTTCTCAAGATGGATGATCTCAGCGTGAGCGTGTAACTCACTAGTTGATGAAGTCCACAGCCTGCGTCTTGAGCTGATCTGCACTGTGCAGGTCGGCCAGGATAAGGATCTCTGCGGCATTCTCCACAGACAGATTCGTGCAAAGAGCGTCCTCACACATCACCTTCAACCTCTCCAGAGCATACTACAAATGACAGAGAGGGAGGATAAACAGCAGGTAAACTAAATTACTTAAACAGCGCTGCCACCAACAACTGTAGCAGCGGTGTGTAATGATACGGTAACACAGAATTACTCCACCGCAGTGGCAACAAGCATTAAATTGAATAAGAAAAAAATATGGCAAAGAGAAGGGTAAGTGACAGATATGCATACTGAGTTGGAACTGATGATGGAATAGCATTACACGAGAAGCGAAAAATTATTTCCACTGAGTCTGATTACAAAATTGCCAGCTACAATAACCTTCTCTCATATTCACACACACTTCAAGATGACTCGTAGAGGTTTAGCGAAGACTACAGTTTAATGTCGCAGTACTTCCTTTTAATTTAACAAGTTACATTCCGTCTATCTACATTCAGTGACATAAAGCAGTCGATTTAAATGATTTGTCATTAAATAAGACTTTAAAAACGACAAGTAAGCATGTGGAAAGATTTAAATAGGGCTACTGGTTCATGAAAATCCCAAAACTACCAGTTTATATTTATTGTTGAATGCCAAAAAGACAGGAATTATCTGTCTTGCTCCAAAGACACAAGTTAGGAAACTAGTGACGAGTTAACCTCCTAGGACCTGGCGTCCACATATGTGGACATCACATTTTGGGTTATTTTAGACCAAAATACTCAATTTTGCTCCACTGGGGCCTGATATCCACTTACAAGGACATTATACTACTACTGTTCTATCAAAATTTTAAATGAATATCCTCATATGTGGCTCTTATTTTCCTTAGAAACAAAAATCAGGTAAAAAAAAATAAATCTGGTAATTCTTTGTTTTTACATTCATCATGTCCCAATATGCCCAAATTTCAAAGAGAAATTAAAAATGCATGCCGTGGAAGAGTTCGGGTCTTAGGAGGTTAAATGTTTTTTGGTTGCAAGTGTTTTAAACCCTTTGGCAAAATTTCTACAAAGTCTAAGATCGTGGGAGCAGTGAAGCTATGCTGAGTCACATGGTTCTTTGAGCCAAATTTGCACATTAAGCTACAACTATTAGGAATGTTCGTGATTTCATAATCACTTAAAAAAAATTAGAGCTAGTAACTAACTCTAATTAGTCTCTGATAAAATGATACACATTTACCGACCACTATTTAACAAGCACGGAAAAATAATGCATTAGTGATCTGCGATAACCAAGACGAGTAAAACAAGTTCAACCAAGGTGAATATAGATGACTTGGTATAAATACTAAAAACATACAAAGGTAAACACTACTAAAGCCTTTACACTGCTTGGAACTCCTCTGTGAATAAATTAGTTCATACAAAAAGAATCAAACAAAAATGGTATCACATGCAAACTATGCCAGCTAAAGCTCATATATCATAAGTTTACCACAAGATCTTTCCGGTGCAGATGACTCACTCAAAATGTGATTTTACAGAAACAGACAGGAAACACTGAATATCCGGCATGAGTACAAGAATAAACAATGAGGAAAACGATTCATTGGAAGTGTGTGCATGTCTTTACCTTGCACAGTTGGGTCGGCTTTATCCTTTGCTATAAAAGTATGTTTGGATGTGTAAGTATGTGTGTTTAGAGGTTGAGGAGCATTTGGTACTTCCCAGGTGTATTTTTGGGAACATTATCATGCATACCAGCTTGTGTGTAAATGTACATAGTAGCAGGTGCGATGCACACACACACTCTTTGTACCTTGTCAGCTGCAGCCAGCAGGTCATCAGCCATCTTGTCCAGGTTGGGGGCCTTGCCTGTGTAGATGAAGCACATCATCTCTTTGAAGACATCTGGCTCCACGTCATTTATCTCCACACGGTTCTGAACGGGTAGAGAGGACAGGAGAGGAGAATACACGCAGGGTTTAACAGAATAAAAGAAAAGAGAAGAAAAACAAACGCTTTGACAATCCTTCAAAACTATATATGGCAGCAGTGTCTTTTTTATTTCATGTAAATTTCCCAAAACCCACCTGACTTAAACTCTCTCACCTTGTTTAGCGCACACACACACACACCCACACACACACACACACACACAGTGATACAACAAAACATGTTCCAAAATCACAATCGAGAAAGAAAGAAAAAATAAACACCTTGAAGAACCTTCTGAGCAGTCAAAACACGTTTCAGCAAAACTACATTCTAGTAAATTTATTTAACTCTTTTCAGCAGATTCAGGAGAATTAATCCTGAGCATTCATTCCTTGACGGTGCCTGCAGCAATCAAAGTAGGCTTTATCGCTCTATGGCACAGTGACGGTAACCTGAACCTTTCCCCTCCACACTGACAAGAAGAACAAAGCAATAAACCAATTATAACAGTGCTTTATCGTCACCACAGTGACCAGCGGCGTTTTAGCAGGGTCAGACTGGGTGTACCAACAGTTTAGTGCATTTGTGTCAACTCTGACCACTCAACGCCAACATAATCATACTGAGAAATAATCGAAGCAGAGTCTAAAAGCTTCTGGTCTGAGCCTGCAGTCTGCCATGGTAGCCTTTTGCAGGAATGCACAAATCACACAAGCACATGAAGCCGTGAAAAAATTAGTAATTCTAACAGGCAAAATAACATCAATGTGTATAATATCAAAAACAACACACCTATTGTTTCTAAATTAACCTCAAACTCATCAGAATCGTTATATTTCTAATTCCTTTCCATTTTTTCTACACTTAACCAATTTCATTCTGCTAATTTCTAACGTGTGTTGGAGCGTTAATGAAATAAAAAAAGACATACTACCACCAAACTACCTTGGAAATCACACGAGAAAAAAACATAACAGGACTTTCTCGCGTAATGAGAAGGCAGTGCCCAACCAGGTCTCATAAATAGACACAACTCCTGTAGTTACAGTGTCTGAAGCTCCCCTCTATTCACAGAGCAGTCCTCTATCAGAGTGCTTCTTTATGAGCTCATTTGTCTCTTTTCTATAGAGTGCTGCAGAGGAGTGTTAACCCACCTATCTGTTTTCTCTGAGTCGTATGGGGACGTGGCCCACAATCTCTCCCTCTTTCTGATGAAGACGCCTACTTAAACAGCAATTAAGATGCATTTCCTGGCTCTGTGCTTTATAATTTCCCCATTTGAGCTCTGCAGGCATCAATATTCCGCTGACATGACGGCTAAATCACCACAGTTGAATCTCACCACCTCCTATCAGATCAACACAACCAACTGTGGCAGAGAGACTCAGTGCATCACACATGTACAAGCACACACAGACACAAACACTGTTTTGTTTCCATCACGTCAGACCTAAACATAACCCTATTTACACTAATTTCGTGACCAAGCCTCACTAAACCATGAACTAATTTAATTATTTGTATTATGAGGACTGGAGGGGGAATGGCATCAGAGACATATTTATGGGATTTATGGGAGAATTCTGAAATGCTCCCAAAGAGCAAATCAACAACAGAAACAGGAAACAAATGAGCCAATCACGCTGTTACACTGACACACGAGAGGTTCACGACCCTTTCAGTTTTCTGGTGGCAGATGCATCTTTCTGCTCATTATTGTAGCAAGGGAGTAGCTACTTTTTAGCTCCTGTATCCCTAATGTGCATTAGAACGGAAAAAAGCAGAGACACTGATGGTGCCACCACCCTGTTATAAAAGTGAGCGGCGGGCAAAAACCTTTATAGTTTATTTTGGGACAGGAAATAACTGCAATGATTCATTCCAGGATGGCTGTTGAGTTGCGACACTTGCCTCAAGAGGAACTTGGATTGCATTTACCTAACTTCACATAAATTTGCACATAAATCTTCAACGTTTTTTCCATCTCTTAAAAGTATTATCAAGCTACTCGCATGCAGAACTGTAGCAACAGGAAGCTTGAATCCACACCGTCAACCTGCTAATAACACTAATCAGTCACAATAGCTCTCAGAACTATTCATACCTCCACAGTACTTACACTTTAGTTTTACATAATTAAATAAGAAGTTATAGGAGAGGCAGAAAGTTATCACAACTAGCATCACCTTTCCATCATCTCCACTGTAAATAGGACGACGTCAGACAGGTTATTTAAAATACACCCTTATGACACCGACTCCTGCCTTATAACTGTCTGCAAACCACTTCCCTCTTTGGAGCAGTTAATATTCCCACTAGACTCTCTCTACTTTCCTTTAAAGGTCAGTACTGTCAAGACATTTTGCTACTGATCAATGGCACCTGTGCATGTGTTAAAGTTCACTAAAGTCAGAACTTATAAAAAAAAGCAACAAATTGAGCAGATTTACTGTGCCCATTTCATTAAATTAATGAATTTTGATGTGAGGTATGAACATTTTGAGCAGCAGCAACACCAGGCACAAACTGCAGCACAAAAAATGGCAAAAAGATATGTATATTAAAAAGATTAAAAAGGGATATCAAAAGGAAAACCAATTCCCTCATGACATTGTAATTGAGTTCCAGGAACAGAGTGATCATATTGAAAGCAACAGAGACTTCAGTCATTTTGTCTGATACAGTCTTGTTAAGTCTACAAATAACACGCTTTATGCCATCAAAGAAATATCAAAGCTTATACAAGTGATAATGATATAATCACTTAAGGATTTTTTCCATATAGTAGCTGTGATGACACCATATAATAGTCAGCAAGACATGAAGGAACATGTGCAGCCACACTTGTTTAAAGAGGCAAGTGCTTCCTGATGCAACAGAAGGAAAGATTGAAATTTAAACATTTGACTCACCGTGCACTGAGGGAGCAGGAGCGACAGAGTCAACTCACCTTCTTACTCTCTTCCATCTCGTGCTCAAACATGGCACTGAACACCGGCGAGCGAGCTGGGACAGAGAGAAACAAAAGGCCGAGACAGAGAAAAGAGGGTTTGTTATTGAGTGTAATGTTGATACACGGTGAGGTCTCTGATATCCGTTAACAGCTTGCCACAGGGCCAGAGGAGAGCAAGGACATGACTGACAGCAGTGACAGCAGTAGAGGCATCATGTGGAAAAAGTCAGCTCCTTTCTGCTGACAGACTCTTGACAGCCTTTCTCGTTTGTTTAGCCAGTATTCAACGTTGATGGGCCGACTTGAGTGTTGCTTATCTCATATATTATGCCCTAATAAAGATCTGTTTTCCTCTTTTAGTTGCACTTTCACTTGCTACCACTCAACTGCTATTTCTTTTTTCCCCCCCTTTCTTAGATATGGTTTTTCACACGGCTTTTGCATCACAGCACAGTCTACAAATCCTCTCAAGGAAAGTTCAGACTATTCTTCCATTTATAGAAAGTGATAAGCCGTGAGAGAGAAACAATGTAAAAGAGCTGCTGGTTATTTGCCAAGTCACAACAAGAAACAAAGAGGGTTTGCAATGAAAAATGTATTCTTATAATCCAAGTTCACACAGATTTCATATTGTATATTTTGCTAAAGACATTTTTGCACATTTTGACAATCTCCAAAATAACAAAGATAAAGTCTAGTAGGAAAAAAAGAAGCAAAAGCAATGACCCAATGGCCCTAAAATGGACATATTAATGTATTTAATGTTTTACGTATTTAGTGAAAGCTTAAGCACAGTGTTTTTCACTGTTGCTATCCCAGACGTGACCCCAGCTGGAGAGGTCATACTTAATCTCCAGTACAGGCAGAACATGACGGCCCAAACAGAGCTCTTTAAAATTTCAAATTACTGCTGTCTAATAATTCTGCAGGCTTAAAATAATCACCGCATCTTGTCCCTGTAGTTCTGCTTAAGGCAACAACACTGTATTTTCTCTCTTGTCGTCCCAGTGGTGACAGTGGTTAGTTTTGGCACAGAATAAAGCACAGCCTCACAGATGGAGCTTAGCCTGTACTTGATTTCCAGCTACTGTTATTACTAGTAGAGTAAGAATGTGTTCCTACAAAGGTAGACCTTGGCCTTTTACTCAGAGTCGCATATATACTATAGCCACGCTTTTCTGACATGGTTCGCTTAGTTTGATTATGCACTGAAAGGGTAACAGTTCACATTATTATTCAGAAGTGAATGCCTTATTAGCTAGTCATTAAAATCTAACAAATGTTGTAACACATTATTAAGTATGTGTCAAAGTCAGTGATATAATAATTAATTCAGACACTTAATAATGAGTTATTAACGCAAAGCTATCTAACCATTTAATTACTCATTGGGTTACACGGTCTCATCCATTAAAACTGCCAAAGCCACAAATAGCTATAATACTGTATAACTGAATAAGCATTAACAATGGACACTGAGGCTATAAGGTCAGAAACTCACTCGCTACAGGAGAATCTCAAATCCACTAAATAAAAATGGCTAACACTAAGCCTCTTAACATTTTCATACATGTTACTTACGACACGTTTAGAGTTTTAGCAAAGGTGGGACATTGGAAATAAATGGTGTTCATTTTAGTTACTTAAGTTGTCACAGTCATTTTACTATCGTAGAAGATAATTTGATGAGAAACAGACAAAATCTTAATCTTTGAAGTCCCATTGCCACAGGTTTATAAAAAAAAAATAAAAAAATCAAGCACCAAGCACTTATTTTGTAAGCGTATGGGGCATTCTTTAATAATAATGCAAGTCAGTTTTCAAATTCAAATTCAAAGCTTCCTTTAACATCAGCACAAAAACTGCAACAGGAGTTTCATGGCATGTGTTTCTGGGGCTGAGCAGCCAGTAGGTGTAATGAGTAGGCGGTCCAGAACTTCGTCTGATACAGTGTAAAAGTTTGTTCAATATCAAAGGAATTGCTCGTGTTCTCACACCAGTGAAAATGTTGAAACATTAAATAAATGATGGATAGCATCTTAACTATCAAGCTTGTTTAGTTGATAATGGAAATTCACATAACCTTCAAATATTCCTATTCTCTCGTCTCTTAGGAAGGATACTTCTTTTGTGTATATATGAGGTAAGACAAGCTAGCCACAAAATGTTTTTTGAGCAAATTTAGTTTTAAGAGAGTCTTGCTGTCCACAGGATATTAAGAAGTGCCATGTTAAAGACTTCAGCATACTTTATCCATCATGTATATGGATCCATAACTGAAGACGTAGTACTAATATCAGTACTCTTAGATGAAGTTAGAAAGTTTGGTCCTGTTACGCTTCAATGACTTGATCGGGAGTCCGCCTACCCTAGACATTCTCTCTGTCTTAATGTCTGCATGGAAACTAAGCTTTGCACTGAATGGCCTGGTAGGACTCTGGGAACAAATCTACACCAAGTCTGTCTGGTGCAGCTGGTGAGCTCATACTGCAGTAGCAAATCGAAGGGGTGGGTGAGAGAGAGAACGAATAAGGAAGAGGTCACAGTAAAGAAAGCATGGAAAAGAGAAAGGAAGGAAGGAAGAAGAGGGATGGACATGGGGAGAAAGCGGAACTGAGCACAATTTAAGAGGAGAGAAAAGCATGAAAACCACTGGGAAGACATTTAACAATCAGAAAGGCGCAGATAAAAGACAGGGAAAAGGAGATAAGAAAAGAATACAGTCAAAGGAAGATAATAAAGAATAAAAAAGGAGCAAAAAATAAAAAGCCTGAGTGAAAGAGAAAGAAGTAAGAAATGTAGAAGCGGGTATAAAATTAAGGTAAGCGACGGGAAGAGAGTGAGTTGTACAAAGATCACATGGCCAATGCACAGCCAATTTGAGTTACTCTCCCTACGCCATTTGATCCCACTCTGTCCGTCTCCACGGCGATTAACGGACAGCAGAGTTGTCACGGGAACAGCCTAGAGGGGGAGTAACGCGGAGGAGGTACGTCATCTGGACTGAGCGGAGAGAGAAAGCACGGTAGCAAGAGAGAAAGGGGAAGACCCCAAACCACAGCAGCACATAATTAAAATGGCTCCTCACACACACATTTCAACAAATCCAATAATGAACAGCCTCCCCTCGTCTCCACAGAGACACACAGTTCACCAGTTTCTTCAAACTTTTCACTAGCTGATGCTGGCTGTCATCAAAGTGCCAATATCTGAAACAAGTTTATGCTTGTCTGCATGAGAGTGTGAGAAACTTTATTTTCATCAATATGGATTCCTGAAGGCCAATGAAGACACACAGGTGCTGAAGGTGTCAATAGCGAATACGGATATTCAATGTATTCAAATTTAATCATCCCCGTGGCGAGCAAAATTATTCATCAAAATTAAAAATTTGATGAAGTATTTCCCCCAGAATTTAGTTCTCGTCACAGTGGAAAAGCCTCTGTAACAGCATTCACACCGAAACGAAAACTCTCCAGTGAAGCCTAGAATAATGACAGACTCCTCTATGAATAATAACAAACTCCACCACCCTCATAAAACTTTGAATTCAAAGTATTTTCATTTAAACGGTGGATTAGAGTGCGATGTCAATGAACTACTTTTTCATCAAATTTTAATATTTCAATTCAATCTAAATACAGACCAATTTTAACAAAGGCATTAGGTGTTATATTCTTTACCATCAGAGTAAATAAAAGAATAAAAGAAACAAGGTATATATATATATAAAATAAAACAGACCTTACTTAATTGAGGCCCTTTTCCCCCATTCGAGGCCACTTCTTTGTGTACCAATGGACCACTTTACATTTGGTTCTGACTATTTGCACTTGTGCATCTGCAATCTCACCACTGAATTCAAACCTGCTTAGACAGCAAACCTGAACTTCTGTGTCAAACTGACCTAGCATATATTGAGGGGCAGCAGTATGGCTTCATGCCGAGAAAGAGCACTACAAGCGCGATGTTTGCTTTGAGAGTGTTGATGAAGAAGTATAGAGAAGGTCAGAAAGAGCTCCACGGGGTCTCTGTAGGCCTTGAGGAAGCATATGATAGGGTGCCAAGAGAGGAACTATGGTACTGCATTAGAAAGTCAACAGCAGCAGAGAAGTATGTGAGGGTGGTGCAGGACATGTATGAGTCAAGCAAGCCACTGGTGAGGTGTGCAGTAGAAGTGTTAATTATGGAGCTGCCAGACAGAAGTAAAAGAGGAAGACCACAGAGAAGAATCATGAAGTAGGACATGCGAGGTTGGTAAAACACATATGACATGCTAGGGCCATGGTGAGATGGAGGCAGATGAGCTACTGTGGCTCCAAATAAAGGGAGAAACTAAAAAAACGGAAGCAGCAGCAGACTGGTGATCATGGCAGGTTTGTGGCTGAGACCAAGAGACCAAACAGCAGTAAGTCTGAAGGGAGAACTCAAGTCACAAGTCATTAGTTGACCTGAAACATGGTTCTTGTAGTCCATAATAACCTAAGGTATGGCAAAAATTTACCATAGCACACCTACACCAGGCTTACCAAAAAGGCTGATTTGTGGGGGGCTACAACAACAACAACAGGGTATTAGACCCCCATTTATATCAATGCAACTTCATCCTCTTCTCTAAAATTAAATTCAACTCGGGGGTGACCATCTTCATACAAAGAGGAAAAGAAGGCAAGCACCACAAACGTGATAAATGGTCAGAACTTCCAGGAAAGAATTTAAAAGGACACGTTGAAAGTGGTAGAGAGCTGCCCAAGTAAATAATCTTGAAGGAAGCATCATGAATTTAAATCGGATGTGTTTTTTGGACTGCATGTGCGACCATCAAACAAAACAAAAAAAAAGAGAATCCTAAAATGAATTTAATGCATCAGTGTTTAATGTGAAGTACTGTGCACAAAAACACATTGTCAAAAAGAAAAGACAAGTATACTCCTGGGAACAATCAACCAAATGTTGCCACTAGTCTAACAACACTAGCTGTTAGGATTAAAACAAACATTGCAAAGAAAGTTTGCCCATCGTTTGCCTATGGCATATCACTGTGTACTTTAGACAATGGTGTGATTGTTTTCTCAGCCCCCGCTGATTCCAAAGTTATATTGATGCAAAGTTTGATTAAAACAAGTCACTTGAATGTTCATAAAATGAACATGGCAGCTCCAGGCAACAATCAGTCATGTTTTATCTAACGGAAACCTCAGCGCTGTCAAATGAAGCCAACGTGTTGCAGTTTCTTAAAGGGGCACTTGTGGCTGGTTTAAAAAACAAAAATAAACAGTTTGTAATACAATTATCTGACAGACGATCCAAGATCATTCTTCATGGGTTTCCATCAGGGTTTTTTGCCATTGCTTGGCAACTCAGTTTCAGCAAGTTTCAGCTCTGTCAATTAATTTTCTATAGGACTGAGGTCTGGAGACCGTAATGTGCTTCTTCTTTAGGCTCCACTCTCCCTCTTTTTCAGAATTATTGTCTGACAATCTTAACTGATAATTTGTCTCTCACCAATAAATGAAACTACTATAAAAACTATACACGTGAAATAATTACTTCCCCTAATGTATGTATTATTGCAAAGAAGACATTAAAGTTGGACCACAAAAATTCTAAATGTCTTAATTTATTTATCAATCAATCATAAACTTCATTAAAAGCATTTTATCTTCACAGACAACACAAAGCAGTAAGTGTATTGCTTTAAACAACGTTTCCAGCTGGGTTTTAGCACCTGAAGGCTAAATATAAAGCTGTAGCAATAACCTCTTACACATGTGACAAAGGATATTCTCACCTGCCAATATGGCTTTGTGTGCCTGGAATTTCTGGCCAGCAACACACAGGGAGCAGTCGGTGAATCTGGAGCTTGCCCACAGATCTCCAAGTTCTTCCGCCAGCCTGCAGTCAGGAACCCTCACCATGTTCATGGTGTTCTGGCCTGAGATATTCACAGAGTCTTGCACTACGCTCACCTGAAAAGACACACACACACGTTTACAGATTACCCCCCCATGTCGTAAATTTTGTGCCCTTTTTATTGTGTAAATCGGAATAACTCGTTTTAGAGTGAATAGTTCCTTTAGCACACTGACTGGTTCACACAGAGGCAAATAAACAGCATGCAATGTTCATAAAAGGAAAATAAATCGGTAAATCAAACATGCTGTGAATGCTTAATGTGGGTTCACTGTCTCTGTAATCAATACATCAGCCACTCAGTATGGAAGTAATTTGAAGAAAACCTATTGTTCCTTCTTTATCAAATCAGACTGGCTACACTCCCAAACAATCCAAAAAACCCGCATTGAAGTCAAATTGGGAGTGCCAGTATGTGTGTGTGTGCATGAGAGTTGTCTGTATGTCTTCCCTGCTGACTTCACCACCTGTTCCAGACAATGTCAACCAGACTCATTTATCTCTCAACAGGACTCACTGCAAACACACACAAACAAGCAGGCTCATGAGCACAAACACACCCACATATTCACACACACACTAATTACTAAGTAATTTCCAACAGACTGGATTGACTGACTTGCAGTTTTTCACCTGCCTGGAGTGCAATCTAATCAAAGAGAAAAATTAGCTAGCTATAGCCTGGTTTGGAACATTCTGTAGTTAGTTAATTAATTAGTTAGTTGTCTGGCTTTCGATTCATGACAGATTAGTCTAGTAATGACGAAGTCCAGAGTCATTCTAGCTAGCATCCGCGGAGTGAGGGTTAAACGGTGAAGGATTATTAACTGAGTTCCAATAATAAACTAAAACTAATGGTCTAGTTAATTTTGTTGAAATTATTGGAAGATGTCCTGTTCTGATTGGATTAATATAATTCATTGACAAAGTTACCAAGGCTACAACTTTGGTGTCAAAGAATTAATTTCAAAGAATAAAGAATATGGCTCATATTACCAATTATGATAAATTGTCAGTGTTCAACAAAGTCTCCTTTAGTTCACAACTTGTAAATTAATGTGTTTTAAATTGTCTAGCCGAGGGCTCAGTAAATTGTCAAATTAAGATTTGGCTAGTTTTCTGTTATTATAGGACATTAAGGCCATACTCCCCAACTGGGTTGCTTTCTTTTTCCTTTAAATTAGGCCTTTTAGGGTCAGGTAAGTTTACGGACACTGTAATGACACTATATTATGATTTTTTGAAAAGAAGTGATCCCACTCGTAGTTTTTTATACTTGTAACCATTTGATTAAAGAAAAGCTGAATCGTATTATTATTACTATTACTGTATAATTTTCAAAAATGGCACAATGGAACAGTGGTTAGCACAGTCACCTCATAGCAAGAAAATCCTGGGTTTGAATCCAGCCTGAGGCCGTTCTCTGCAGAGCCTGCATGGGTTCTCTCCAGTTAATCTGACGTCCTTCCACAGTCCAAAGAATGTATGGGGTTGGGTTAACTGGTCATTCTGAACTGGCTAAAGATGTAAAGTAAGCATAAACGATTGTCTGTCTTTGTGTTAGCCCTGTGATAAATTGGTGACCTGTCCAGGGTGTACCATGGACGGGTGCCCTATGACATCTGGCACAGCCAAAACTCTGGATGGATAGATTCTAAACATGATTTCATTAGAATATTATTGATTTTCAGGCTAAGCACTCTTGCATTCAACAAAACACTATTCAGAGACTTCTGACATGTTTTTTCTATCAACTTAAATAAATGTATTTTGTCATAGCTGGCAGTATTGGTGGTGGATGGAAAATGAAATTTGCAGGACTTGGTTTTCAGTTACATTTAACACCACAATTAAGAGCTACGGGGCACCTGACACCTGATAAATAAAAGGACGCTTGTTCTCCTGTTTTTCTCGCTGACACCTTCGAATAGCTTTCAGTAAACTATTGTCAAGAACAAGGCCAAAAATCCCAAAACATCCCACAAAGTGACCTTGCTGTTAAAGCATCAGCAACTGAGGCTGACACCCAAAAATCCATAAAAAAATAAATAAATAAATAAACTAAATTACAGCCCGGTTCCCTTCTCATCCATCCCCATTCAACCATCAGCCCACCTATTCGTCCAATGCCACATCCATCCACCTATTCAAAGAACACAAAAAGAGTCCTAGAAAAGGAGGAAAAGTGCATACAATAGAGAAGTACGTGGCAAGCAGGAAATTGAATGTCAAGGAGCCTTATTTGCTCCTGATGGAGGTTTGAGGGTTAGCCTGAAGGGGACAGAAAGACAGACTGATAATAAAACAGAAGAGTAAGAAAAGCAGGAGATTGGGGGGGAGGGGCAGATATGGAGATAATAAAAGTGGAGAGAATACAGATGCAGAGATACCAAGCGACAGACAGACAGAATAGAGAGAAGCCATCACACACAAAAGAGCTAGGAGTGAGTGAGCCATTGGTGGGATCTACAGTTGAAGATGACCTCTCATAGTAGCAGCTCATTCCTGGTACAGAAATGACAGGGACAGTGTGAAGAAAACGTGACTATTCTGAAGAAGGAGAATTCAAAGCATTCCTGTGTGTGAGACAGTCTGGTTTCCACAGCTGGGCCTATTATTCACACTCCTAGGAGATGCAGGTTTGACTGACATATGTACATCTCAACACACTGACAGATGGGAACTAAAAATAAAGCCACATTCACACGAGAAAGAGACATTCCTGTGCACAGACTTTGGCATTCATAAAACACTGATTAGTAATACAGAAGGCCTGGTAGATAGGGATTTGCTGCGTATAAGGGAGGAACAGGAGGAAAAACAGAAGAGAGAGACAGACGCACAGGCAAAGACAAAGAGGGCGGAGGACAGAAGTTCACTGAGCTCAAGCTGGAATGAAAAATGGCTTTAGGAGGAGAAGAGGAGGAGAGAGGGGAGAGTCCAGAGCTGTGTCCTGAGTACCCACTGAATAAAATAAACAAGTGCTGAAAAGCGAATTGGAAGGGAAGCCTGGAAGCTTGGTCCGTGCGTTTCGGTATAAATAGCCCAATTAGTATGGTGGAGCCGTCGTTGGGCTTTTAGATGCAGTGTGGCAGAGCCGGTCTAATTACTGGCTAACTTGACCAATTATTTCACTGTTTAACCAGGCAGAAACTAAATCGCAGCACCTGGTTATTTAGACACACTGGCTGCCCAGACAGTCTTCACACCATTAGCTGTCATCTTCAGTCATTGTCAGCTTCCTCCTGCTTGCATTTTCCCCACTCGAAAACAATTCTCATAGTGATTGAGCAGACAACATTCCTAACCATGTATACACTTGATCTTAATTCAGTCTTACAATAAGTATACTTTGTCATCTTAAGTCTTCACTTATTTTAGTAGAGATGGGTGAATGCTTTGTGATGAGTTATTTGTCACCTGACAACAAAAATGTAAGTCCTCCCAAGAAAAAGGCATTAGTGTTCAACATCTTAATAAATGTTAAAAACACATATACAGACTGTGTGACTCTTTCGCATCGAGATTTCCTCAGTGAAATTATAAACTCCACTAACAGACGGTATATAAAGATGAACGTAGCCTCCAGGTCTGTGAAGCCAATGCATTAGTGAATTAAATCCTCATCGTTTCCAAGCAGGGGGTGAGTCCCTTTATAGAAGTCTAAGGACACAATCGTGCTGCTTGCGTGATTTATGGGTTTTATTGTTAGTTTCTAGTTTTTTTTTTCTTAGTACAGCATCACATTAATTGTCTAAGTTGTGCTCCCCACCTAGCAGTTGACAAGTACCAACTGTATGAAAGCTCTCAGTCACATCACATCCGGCTTCAGCAAAGCAAAAGCTCAGGTGCAGGCTTCAAAACAGCTGGATGATGTCACACTAGTTGTTTTATATGTTTTTATATGAAGTCCAACTTGTTATAAGAGAGCCACAGTCATGACATCCTCCCATCCTCATATCGTTTTTAATTAATATTAGATTGTTCAGGAAAACGTGTGGAGGCATCCCGGGTAAATGTAGTTTTTTCTTTAAAGATACCTCAGTAATGGAGTGTTAACTGAATGTTGGTCAATATCACAATTTTAATATCGACTTTGATTCTAAAGTTTGAGTTTTGGTGTCAACGAGGTCAATAAGAATGATCCCTCAGAGGAAAACTCCATAGTAACTCTGCCAGCAGTGCAATTCAATGCAATGAAAGAACTGAATTAACCAACCAACCAACTAAATGATTGACTGATTTGTATTTATTACCCAGTAGTTATACTGATGATTATCATGATGATGACGACAGAAACCACTTATGTATACAACCTTAGGTAAGAAAATAACAGTAATGAAGAATCATTGCAGCTATATCACCACAATCATCATTTGTTTTGGTAATTAAGTTCCAGAGATAAGTACTTACTAAAGCGCTTGCCTCCCAGTTAGTTCCTCAGACATCAAGATGAATCTCATTGTAAACCCTCCAGGCAACGCAGAGTTAATATTGAGTTTCAGCACCCAGATGATTTATTCATAATGCATCAATCTTTTTCTGCCTGTTTATGTGTTTGTTTATGGATTTAAAGTGTTTTGCCATGCGTGAAATAGTTCGAAAAAGGAAAAAAAAGAGATTCAAATCAAATGAAATTCATTAAGTTCTGGAACACTTGTTCCTTTACCTGCCAAGACTCATTTTCTCGGTGCAGTCCTTTGCATTCACAAACACGTAAACACGGGCCGAGATGACGGACGAAGCAGACGGACATATGGACAGATGCATGCATACATACACTCACCTCAGCAAACTACACACTTTCTCACACATATGACAGGACACTACTTGCTGCCGATGTATTATTTTTTTTTAAAAAGTGTAATTTCCTTCTGTTATTTTTTACCATAGATAATTTGCATAAATATTATTTGACTTTCCACACAACATAGTTTTAATGACCTGCTTTGAGTGAAGGCAAACTTCTAACCTAGTCTGGCTTCCATCCTCTGCATAGCACCGAAACTGCTCTTATAAAAATAACAAACGACCTTCTTATGGCAGCTGATTCTGG